TACATCCTGACTTAAATCCCTTTTTTATATTTCATGTAAAACACTTTGAATTAGTTTTTCTTGAAGGGTGCTACACTCCTCCAATAAACTTAGTATATAAAAGTTAAATTGTTTCATCTCACAATATGTAGCACTAAAGCAACAATTAAACTGGCCAATCTTACATTTCCTTATCTACTTTCTTGGCATCTTTTTCAGCAAAGGTAGAAGATGTATCTTATACTTGGCATATAACAGCCATGTGTAACAAACCCAGACACTCATGATCCAAGACAATAACTTGATTCCCTCGGTACGTCCTCAATAATTCAAACTTTTCATGTCCAGATCTCCTGTTAGACTAACGGAAACGATCAGAGATGTTACAGCTTAAAAATCCTGAGACACGATCAACAGAGTTAAAAAAAAAACATCTTCCATCTCTGCAGTGGGGATTTTATTATGTAGAGCGTAGTCGTGAGCAGCTTCTCAGACTATAGGGTTATCTTGTTCTCCACTCCTCATACTTTGCAGAAACAGAGCCACGTGTATTCTACAATAACACACAGTATGATTTACAGATTCTATTTACAACTGTAAATGTGAATTCACAGTATTTCAGTGTGAAAAAGAAACAACATAAGAATAAATTTGTCACACTGGTTAATTAGAACACCCAAACAAATGATTAAATATGTGGAGCAAACACAGATTTGTTAGTAGAAGCAACATTAGGGGGCTGCGCTGTGACTTTCATGAGAAAATATTCTTTGTGAAAGGACCATTGCAGTGACTTTGGACCGTATATCTCAATAATAAGTGTTGTGCGACCTTATTTAACTTCACAAACATACCAATACTTTTCATGACTGCACCTTGGGCTGCCCCTTTCTCCTCTGTGTGCGTGTGTGTATGGGTGAATGAGGACTGATTGACGTGGCATGTCTGCTAGGTGGTGATATACACAGTGGAGTTGTTTCAAAGTGAGAGACATCATATTACGAGCTTTACTGGTCTGAAATAAAACTGTGTGTTTTGTCGACATGCTGATTTAGTTGGTTGGTGTTTGAACTGTGTTTGATGTAAAATGGTTGTTATGGGTGTTCAGCTGGGCTTCTACCTAACAAGGTATAGCATGTGCATATTGAAAAAACTTTATTTGATCTATGTTACACTGTGTCTGTAATGTGAACAGCCTTTATATCTGGTTGGTTTCAAATAGTTATAAAAACAGAAAATATGAGGATGAACTATGAATGTGAACAGTTTAATCTACTATGAACTGAACTTTGAGCGAGCTCCTTTCGAGTGTGATCATCATCATCATCAAGAATGAAGTCCTCAGTATCCACATCAGCAGATATCACGTCCAGGTATGAAAATCAGACTGGAACAGAACAAGTGGGTAAGTGCATCTCTGTCTCCGGGCTGAACAATTTCCCATGAGTTTAGTGTTGCCACATCCTGGGTTCATGCACTTTCATTGTTTTGTCCCAAGGTTTCTCTCCACTGATTCATTCTAGCTAGGGAACTATAGATAATTCATCTTTTTGATTGCTTTCTAATTTGACATGTTTTTTTTTCATTCATTCAATCATTTATTTAATTTATGTAAGACTTTCCTAGTCTTGATGACCACTCAAAGCACTTTATAGTACAGTTTTGCCCTTCATCCATTCATACAGTGCATCTATGTGCAGCACTTCAAGAGTTTTGTGTATTTCTGAGTTGCTATTTTGGTATTCATGAATTGTCTCACAGATTGGATGAGATTGTCTTCAGGGTCTTTGTTGGCCTATAAGCAGAGACTAACAACTTTTATTGTTTTTTAGGTCATTATACAGAGAATATGTAATTTTCTCTGCCCTCATTAATGACAACACGTTTTAATGAATAAAGAATAGCAGCTCATTCCGGTTATTCTGCTTGCCCTTATTTTCTTGACCCAATCAATTCATTTGAAATGGAAAGCCTTGTGTTTCTTAATTGAGATGGAACACAACAATGACACCTCTTCACCTCTCACACTAAAGTGTGATCATTAACTTCCATCCATTGACTTTT